CTTTAACCCCATTGTTCCCAATGGCCTACTAAATAAGAATACAAGTAGTATTCATGATACGGAAGATTTTTTTTTTTTTAAAGCTAAATGCCGCCTTCACATTTTTCATGGGAAGCCTGGAAGATGCCGGTTTCTAAGAAGCTTACCCTCAAAGTTATACTCAACAGTGAAGTGCCCCATTGCTGACATTCTTCATGAATGGTCTAGTTTTCCCAGGTAAAAACATCACAAAGGTGTTTTTTTATCATTACAAATGGGGCCACAGAACTGGAAAATGCTCACGTATTTTTAGAGAATGCATATATGGAAAGAACAGACCTACACCTGCAGAAGACTCTGGGTAGGTGGGTAGGGGGCCTGATGCCCAGAGATGCAGAGGGCGCTGGAGACACGTACTAGGTCCTCGCATGGTTAGCACCATGGCAGTCAGCCCCTCGCCTGCCAAGGACATAGCTCAGCTCTCAGCGCTGGGAACACCTAGACACACACCCATCTTTCCAAGGCACTTCTGGCTTAGACGAGAGTTGGACTATAAAGAAAGCTGAGCGCAGAAGAATTGATGCTTTTGAACTGTGGTGTTGGAGAAGACTCTTGAGAATCCCTTGGACTGCAAAGAGATCCAACCAGTCCATCCTAAAGGAGACCAGTCCTGGGTGTTCATTGGAAGGACTGATGTTGAAGCTGAAACTCCAATACGTTGGCCACCTGATGTGAGGAGCTGACTCATTTGAAAACACCCTGATGCTGGGAGGGATTGGGGACAGGAGGAGAAGGGGACGACAGAGGATGAGATGGTTGGATGGCATCACCGACTCGATGGACATGGGTTTGGGTGGACTCTGGGAGTTGGTGATGGACAGGGAGGCCTAGCGAGCTGCGGTTCATGGGGTCGCAAAGAGTTGGACACAACTGAGCGACTGAACTGAATTGAATGTCACCCACACTAGCTTATACCTCGCAGTTCTTCCACACTCAGAACCCCCAACCCCGGAGGGGGCTGGAATACTCTATGATATTGACTCTCTCTATGGGCTTCCCAGGTGGTGCAGTGGGAAAGAATCCACCTGCAGATGCCAGCAATGCGGGTTCAATCTCTGGGTTGGCAGGATCCCCTGGAGGAGGGCATGGCAACCCTCTCCAGTATTCTAGACAGGAGAATTCCATGGCGCCTGGCAGGCTGCAGTCCATGGGGTCACAATGAGTCGGACACCACTGAGAGACTAAGCACATATGAGGGCTGGGTGATATGTGAACCCAGTGACCATGTCGGAACTCAAAATATTCATGAAGGAACTCTTTGGTCACAGTTGCTACTCCCATAATTTACGCGACTCAATCCATTCATTTTAAATTGTAAATATAGGAAGATGACAACCGTTCTAGTTAATTCAACTATCCTGTGTAGACCTGTTCTTCTGCAGAAAAGAACCTCTGTAATCGAGTCTGATGAGGGCCAGGGCAGCGAGGAAGTCAGGGAAGCAAGATCCTTATGGCACCAAGGGCCCCCACGTGGACAGAGAGTTTCTGGATTTTCAGGCAACATAGATATTTGATGACGGCACACTTTTTAGTCTTTACCTTCTGAACAAAGACACTGCAAAGGTAAGAAATACCCAGTGACAGAAACTTGGTGCTCAGCTGAGAGCCTGGGAAGAGAGTGGGGCTCCTTTATGGGCTTCGGGGGGACAGTTCAGACGTTCACACGTGGAGCTCCAACCCCTCCCTCAGCAGGGCTCAGGCCAGGCCCTTGGGGGGCCACGGGGGACAGAGACTTCTGGTCTACTGCACTGATGTTAGATCAGGGGCCAGATGTGCCCAGGGGTGTGCAAGAGGCACTGGGAAAGGCATGAGCAACTCACAGCTTCTGCTAGCAGCTCCCCGCCAGCCCTCCACCGCCCTTGGAGGCAGGCCTGGGTGGTGGTGTCAGTAGCTCTGATGTCTTTGGTGTCTTATTGGGTTTGGCCGAGGAGGTGGCGGCAGGGGACCAGAGGCAAGGGGGACAGGGAGGCCAGGGGCTTCTCCTGGGCTCCTCACCCTCTGGGTCACCAGATGGCACATGTCCTTCTGTTGAAGGACATATCCCCGGATGGAGGTCTTCCCCAGATGCCTCCCTCTGGGTCTTATAACCAGTGCCTCCTTTCCCTGTTACCCCCCGGGGCCCCACACCACCCTGCCCGCGCCTCCACTGACAGTCCCTGTGGAAAATTCCCACCAATGACCCAGCTGAGGGTGCCATATTTTCCCTGGAACCCAGAGTGAAATAGCTGACTCTCAGTGGGAACTGCATTTTTCTCATACTCTATAGAGATTTGAGTCTAGTCATCTGATCCAACGGGGTGTCTCAAAAACTACACGATTCACCCACTGTATGGACATCATCTAGAGAACTTGTTATATTTACGATTGCAACTTTTCGGCATGAAGTCAAGCCAAAGAGAATACACTGGCAATAACAAGTCACAGTGCTTTGCAGGAAACAGAAATAGAAATATTTTTAATAATTAAAATTAAACAATCCGCTAAAAATATACAACTAGGTTTCACTTTAAGAAGGCTTAGCTTTGATGGTTCTCACAATACACTTTGATTAATAGTTATTAAGAAAATTTTAAAAATTGAGCATCATTGTGAATCTAAAATTATCTCAATTGAATGATGTGTTCTGACTTCAAAGATGTTAAAATGTGGGGGAAAAAAATAAAGAACAATATGCCTTGGATATAGCCTGTCTCCCCAAAATGACTCATTTATAGTTGGGAAGGTAACATTTCCTAGGGAAAAATGATCCGTATTCTTTTTACAGAGAATTTGTCTTATTTTCTAGTGGAAAGATGTCACGGATATGGCATCATAGGGATGGTCCTCTTAACTACAAAGTGAGGCACAGTGTCCTTTCTAGTCATTAGCACTGAACTTCTGAACACACATCAACCGACACCCATCAAACATGCCCGAGATGCTGTTTTGATTTCTAATTTGGGTGCTTCTGAATCTGTCTTTCTGTTTGCATCACCACCTCGGCAGGAAGGCCCCTAATGAAAGGGTCCGTGGCAGGCTTGGGGCTGAGGATCTGACTCAGCCTCGTCACAGGCTATCGCTCAGAGCCCACGGTACCACCGCAATAATGCAGGAAGTGGAAGATGGAAACATTTCAGGCATCCAACAAGCCTACTGTCACTTCTCGAACTTTCTGCGAACCCACTGGATGAGGAGGATGCTGATTTGAACCGGCAGCCCAATTAAACGCGCAACCACTACTAATTTACTTTCAGGCTGGATCTTATTCACACAGTTTTCACTATGCCAGGAGGTGGGTGGAATGAATAGAAAGGATGAAATGTGTGTAATGAAGTGATAGGAAGACTTTATAATTAGTTTCTACCAAGTGGTACCTTTTAAAAAAAGTCATTAGTTGGAAACACACGACAAACACAGTAAGATGTTTATCTGTGAAATGGGCCTGAGACCTTTCCCTGAGGCAAATCTTACTCTTCCCCTGGGCCTGTGGGGCACCTGCTCCCCACCTGGCCAGTGGCCACGCATCTTCCTGACTTTACCCCAGTCCTCTTGTAAGAGGGGGTGTGTGGCCACCCATCCGTGGCTGGGGGCTTTTTGCTGAAGTTTTTGGAAGGCATTGCATCAATGCTCAGCATCTGTGGGCGATTTATTTTCCAATGGGAAGGCCAGCGGTGTCTGAGTGGGTGCTTTGATCCACAATCATTATTTTTCACCACTGCTGATATAACAGAATCATCCTCATTTATCATAACAGGAGAAAATCGGTTTTTATGGGCTAAACTTGTTAGCAGGAAGCTATGGGAGGCAAAATGGTAAGACAGGCACTGAAAAAGGGCTTCGAGACTCTTTCCAGCCACCATGAGAGAGCCCCAACAAGCTCCCTGACACTCTGAACCTTGGTCTCCTCATTATAAATGAAAATGCCACGAACTCACAGAATTACAGTAAACGACATAGCGCGTGTACCGTAAAATCTGCTCCTGCCTTGCTAACAAAGGCATCGTGGGTTTATCTCATTTAAGCTTATCTTCAGATATTAGGAAGGAACAGGCACTTTCTTTCACACTCAAACTTGCAATCTGAACAGTCAAAAGAGTATTTCAGAAAAAGTGCAGCAGAAATAGAGAAAGAAAAGGATGTAAGCTATAAAGGTTGTTTCCAGCATACATGGAATCCTTGTTGAAACCAGACTGTTTTACTCTCACTGGTCTCACCAATCATTATTCATGTTACACAACAATGTTTTGACATTTGAACTTTCCTTTGAAGTATTTCTTTAACTTGTTTATTACAACGCATTAACTTCACCTCCCACCATGCCTGGGTACCTGTGTGCATGTCCACCTCCACTGGCAAACCAAGGAATAAAAAATGTAAGTCCATCAGAAGGAGCCGCTTCTGAGAGATCACGTGGGCCCAGCCCTGAGCATCAAACCTGACTTCAACAAGTCAGAGGAGAATCAAGACAGACGGTGCCCACAGAAACACTAATGCAGCTCACAAAACAACAAGAGTGATGGGCATTAATAGAGGGGGCGGTTATCATCAGACGAAGCTGAAAGCCAGGATCGGAGTGGCTGTCTTAACGTGAAATTAAGTCAAGCAGGTATCAAGGAAGATTGCTACCTCAGGAGGCTGGTCTTTTTTGGAGGACGACACCGTGGCACAGCTCGGCTGGAGCGGACACCCGAACCCAGCTTGCCGAGGTCGGGCAAGACCAAACAACCTGCCCAGATGGATGGGGGGCTGGGACGCCAGTGTTAGCATGGACCCAGCGACACCTGTCAGGAGGTAAGACGGCCGACAGCTCAGGGATGCAGGTCACTGCGTGTGCCTTGGCACACGCAGTGACCTGCATCCCCGAGTGCTTGTGGTTCAGGGTAAACGATGCTACAAATGAGAGGAGTGAGAATTACTTTTCAGAAACGCGAGCTCTGCCCCTGAAAGTCCTTGGAAGGTGGGGTGGGGTGGGGGCGCCTTACCGTCAGCGGTGCCGGAGAGGCCGTCGGCTTTGAAGTTGCTGGTGCTTTTCTTCCTCCGATGCTTCTTTCTGTTGGCGTGAGGGGAGGGGGGCGGGTCGAGCTTGGGGCTGGCGGTGCTGGAAATGCTGGGGCTTGAGCACAGGGGGTCACCCAGCCCCGTGTCTGCCGCCGGACCGGAAAAGGAAAAGAGCGCAGAGGTCAGCACGGAGAAACCAGACTCTGCCAAGGACCACAGCAACGTTCCTCCAGTTACCAAGCCCCGGGAACAGTCTCCGAACCGCGGGCTCAGAGCAAACCTTGTGTTAAAAGGTCAGGGCTCCCCAGGCCCGAACACGCCACCTGCTATTCCAGAGCAGGAGCTCCTCTCGGCATCTTCTTTCTGCTCAGGAGAATTTAAAGTCCTCCTGTTTTTTTTTTTTTTTTAAGACCAGTGCTTCTCCAACTTTATTACTTTAAAAATTTTTTTATTGGAATAGAGTTGATTTGAAATGCTGCTGTAGTTCCAGGTGTACCCCAAAGTGCATCAGTGATACATATACACATACCCACTCCTTTTTAGATTCTTTTCCCATATGGTCATTATAGAGTATAGAGTAGAGTTTCCTGTGTGACACAGTAGGTTCTTCTAAGTTATTCATTTTACACACAGTCATCTGTATATGTCAACCCCAATCCCTTCTCCTTCCCCCCCCACACCCCGTCACCATAAGCTTGTTTTCTACATCTGTGATTCCACTTCTACTTTGTAGTTAAGTTCGTTTGAACCCTTTTTTTTTTTTTTTAAGATTCCATATATAAATGATATCATATCATGTTTGTCTTTATCTGATTTATAAAGTTCTCTGTTTTGCATGTTTGGAGTTCTGGAAAAGGAAAGTTGGGGGGGGGTTTACTTGTTTATTTTTCTCTTCCCACAAATAATTTGATATATTAGGAACAAAAGAAATACTCAGGAATACATAGGAGAGTGTCATCTTAAATGGGGTTGACTCGTGTGTGTGCTCACACACAAGATACAGGTATTTCTGATCGTCTGTCTCCTTCCCTCAACATTCTGTAGGACCAGACATCAGTTGATTACTAGTGAGATGCCACAGGCCACCGCCCTGTCTCACCAATGTCTAGCAACAGTCCTTAGAAGTCCACAGTAGACCAGGCAATTTTTGATTCACTGAACCCTCTCACCAAAATGTTAAAATCAGTGCACAAATGTGATCATTCACTGGAACTGAAACTCTCAACTTATGATGTCTAACTTTACTTTATCAGAGAGAACACAACACCCTTAAAAGACATGAAATGAACATGCAATTCAGCAGAATGAACAAGTTCACTGAGAAAGGGATGAAGGAACACCACCCAGACACCTCCAAGCTCCTAAGAATTCATCATTTCATGACACAGCGTCTTTGTTAACTCAAAAGACAGAACCTTCTGTGCAACGAATGAATAAACGTTCATTCATTCAACAAACGTTCTTTTGAGCACTTACTGTGAGCCAGTCACTTTTCTAGATGTCCGGGATCCACTGCTGAGAATAACAAAGGTCCCTGTCTGAGTGGCATTTAGACAGCTGAGGGGTCACAACCCAGACTTCGTCAAAAGGTGGTGAGAGGGGAAAGGAGCCCATGGAGGGTGGACATCACAGAGGTGGTGGAGGGGTGGGGGGGACAGAGAGGGTCTTGATGAGAAGGCAACACGTGGGCCAATGCTTAAGATGGTGAAGACATGAGAACTCAGGCGCATACCTCGGGGAGGAGGAAATCACCAGAACCTGACCCTAAGGTCAGGTGTGCATGCTGGCAGTGTCCCAGAACCACAGAGGGGAGGACGGGAGACTCAGAGAGGAAGAGGGGCTCGGACACTGTCTAGGACCGGCTTTTACTCTGGGGAGCCGCTGCAGGCTTTTGAACAGAAGGATGACCTGATTTTGAATATAAGGATACTTGAGGGCTTCCCTGGTGCCTCAGTGGTAAAGAATCCTTCTGCCAATGCAGGAGAGATGGGCTCGATTCCTGATGTGGGACAATCCCACCTGCCGCAGGGACAATGAAGCCCGTGGGCCATGACCGATGAGCCTGTGCTCTAGGTCCCGGGAGCCGCAGCTACTGAAGCCCGCAGGCTGAGAGCATGTGCTTCACAAGAGAAGCTACTTCAGTGCGAAACCTAAGCGTGGCGACTAGAGCCAAGTCCCCGCTCGCCACAACCAGAGAAAAGCCTCCGCAGCAACGAAGACCCAGCACAGCCGAAAATAAATAAGCAAACAACACTTTTATATAAAGATACTGGAAATCTGAATTGAAAATACTTCTATTTTCTGAACATTTTAGCATGTATTAAGAAATATTAAAAAAAAAAAAAAAAGCTTAGTTTCTTTTAAGCTCTACACCTGGCTCCAGGAATGCCCTAGGAAGCAACTTGCTGACGTCCTAAGACCAGCAATGCCTTTCCCATCCCTGTATGGTCAGGAGGGTCAACCTTCTTCCCATCCCCTGCCGAGTCAAGGCCTCTGGGAGCCTGTCCTGGGAGGGGTGGAAGAGTCAGCCCACAGCTCCTTCCTGCAGGAGAACCTGCCTCCAGGAGACTGGGACTCTAGGTTGAATCTTTATCCACGTGGTCATTTCTTCTTCACTCTCTCTCCAACTTGCCGCCTACTCTCCACCAAAGGCACACCCACCCCGGCTCTGGCTCCCCCCCTTTAGACCCTCCTCCCCCTCCAGGTCCAGGGAGCATGGCTAACTGTAGGAGGGTTCACTCTCTTGCTAGCTTTTCACCTTTTAAATGGTCCCGGTCTTCTGCAATACAAATCTTTTAAAAATAGCATTTCTTATACACATACTTTTTAATTTTTAAAATACTAGATCCCACTGTATATAATATACCCCATTGTATATAAGACTGTATGTAGACATCAAGGGAAAAAAAAAGGTTAGTCTAGTTGATGTTGTTGTTGTTTAGTCACTAAGTGGCGTCTGACTCTTTGTGACCCCATGGACTGTAGCCCGCCAGGCTCCTCTGTCCATGGGATTTCCCAGGCAAGAACACTGGAGTGGGTGGCCATTTCCTCCTCCAGGGGATCTTCCTGACCCAGGGACTAGGCCCTCATCTCCTGCATTGGCAGGTGGATTCTTTACCACTGAGTCACCTGGGAAGCCCCCAGTCTAGTTAATTCTTGTGGACAATTTCAGAGAGTTCAGAAGCTGCCAGATACTGCTGAGGCGTCCAGGGCCCCCAGGATCACTGGCTGATCCTAAAGCAAACGCTTTTACATGTTAGTCAGTGCTCAAGCCTTACGATGAATATGTTTGTTATTTATTTTCTGCCCAGGTTTCAAAAACCTTCATGCTCTGACGGTATCCTCTCTGACTCTGAAGTGTTAGGAACGCACCGGTGCCAGGCTGGGTGACAGGCCATGGGGAAACTGGTCCCAGTGACCATCCCCATCCTCTAATCACGGAGGCTGATGGGGGTGCAGGCCAAGACAGCTGCCCTCTACTGCAGCAGGACTGGTGTTTTGCTCTTTTCCGCTGTCCCCTGGCACCACAGTTCGAAAGCATCAACTCTTTGGCGCTCAGCCTTCTTTACGGTCCAACTCTCACATCCGTGCGTGACTGGACTAGAGGGTGAAAACCCCTGTCCCCATGGAGTTGACGTCTAATGACTGAGAGGATGCCTGTCTGGTCTCTTGCTTGATACCTCCAGGAAAGACTAGATCTCCTGGGCAATCTGAGTTTGAAGAGGGGGAATCAGATCTATGGCAGAAACACTAAGATCCCGTGGACAAGAAAATGGCAACCCACTCCAGTACTCTTGCCTAGAAAATTCCATGGATGGAGGAGCCTGGTGGGCTACAGTCCATATGGTCGCAAAGAGCTGGATACGAGGGAGCGACTTCACTCACTTTTAATCCTAGGTAAACAGAAGTGCCAGCTACACACAGAGAGAAGTAAGGTGGGGAACCATCCACACGCCCACGGGCACCGAGGCAAGCTGGCTCCATGGCCTCCCTAGAGAAACACGAATGTGGCTCCAGGAGGAGCCACCAGGACCCAGAGTGTGAGTGACAGAGACAAAGGAACCACAGAGTCCGGGAAAGCACCAGCAGTGAGCTGGCGTGGGGAGGGCGGAGGGCAGAACAAGAAGACACAGGTCCTGATCTGGGCCCTGAAGGCAGCAAGGGAGGCGGGAGGTGAGCTTGCAGAATAACTCAGGGCTCTCATCTAGTAAAAGAAACAGTGATCCCAGGGACGAAACCAGAAAGCAGGACCAGCTGTTTGTGAGCCCCAGGAATCCCGTCTCAGACAAGGAGGGGCATGAATAAAGGAGGTGATACGTACCCGTTGCTTGGAAACCAAGAAGCATTTCCCGTCCACGGTCTGGCCTGCTACTCACAGGACCAAGGTCTGCCTAAGAGCACCATTGCTGAAGCCTAGAGACGGCAGGTGAAGCTGGAGCCCCATCTCTTCTCCCCGCCCGGGTCAGTGCTCCAATGCTGGCCGCCCAAGCCCTGCACACGTGACCCCAAGTCTCTCACTGGAGGAAAGACAGATAACCACGATGTGGTCGGGTGTCCACAGGGGGTGGGCGAAGTGGGAGTTAGGCATAGAAGTCCCTGGGAAAATCAGGTGCCCCAGGGTGGGGTTCATAGGGGCAGGCACAGCTCAGGGGTGGACAGCTGGGCACAGACAGGCAGCCGCCCAGGAATGAAGGGTCCTGCCAGGAACAGAAGGCTGTGTGTCGGGGCCAGGGGCCTGACTGCAGCAGCAGGAGCACCCACGATGCAAGTGGCCAGCGTCTGTGGTCCCGAGGACGGGGCTGGGGTGGTGAGTCACGACGGAGGCGAAGCAGGGGCAGGCCGGGTCGTGGTCAGGGAGGCCTGGGGCAGAGAGGGTCCCCGGCAGCCCTGGCTGTTCTCCTGGCTAGGTGTCACGTCAAGGATGCTCTGGTTTCTAGTGACCTGGGTTCCGCGTCTGGGTGCTGGTATCTGAATGCCTGGCTCCTAGATCCTGAGAACTCCCTTTCAACAGGAGGTGTTTAAACAGTCCCCTGGTTTAAAATACGACCAATCAAAACACACTGGGCTTCCGTACTGTGCTTTTCCATCTCCGATGACGCCTCCTGCCTGACAAGGTATCCCTCGGCCTGAACAGCCTCTGACAGCC